TTTGTTGTAAGATGTTTTGATCAAGTATCCTCAAAACTATTTAAATTTACCTCCAATATGAGTTATAGGGGGAAAACAAGAAGTCAGCAGAGCCATAGCTGAGGTAGGAAGCAGCTCTTAACTGGGGCCTGTCACAGAAGGAGATTTCATGAGTCTTGAGGAATTCTTTCGCAATTTCTGGTGACGAGGCAACGACACAAGGGTGAGATCCTAAACGGAGGGAGATGAGAGGCCCATAGCGGAGGGAGAGCTTGTGGAGCTCTTGGTGGGGGAGCGGGCCCAAAAGATGGAGATGTCCGAGTATCGGAAGCCCTGGGGGACTTGCGGAAGCCGCAGGCCGCTGTCTCTTCGTCGCCAACGAGCAAAGAGAGAACGGAGGATGATGAGGGAGAGTAACCATAGGAGGAGGGAGAGAGCTACGTTGGACTTGACAACTTCTATCGTTATGATGTTTGCCTTCATCTTAAGGCTTAGCTCTTGGATATGGCGATGAGTGTAGCTAGGTTATATTACTTATATAAGCTCATCCTCTCATTTTTTTCGACAGGCAGGGACAAAATTGATTGACGATTTTTGCAAGCTTAGAGCAGGTTATTACTTATTCAGATTTTTCCCCTCTTTCGCTTTCGTTAGAGGTTTATTGTATCGGCTGGTCGATCAGGATGTTGCTACCATTCCGTGTTTTTGTCAAATCGTGACGGTTAACAGTGAGGGGTTAATTGTGTCGGCGTGTTACTGCGAGCTTTGCTGTCAATTTTGAGCTAATGATTTGAGTTTTCTTCTGCACAAAGGTAAAACTTCATTTGGTGGTCTCCTTGTTAGCTCAGCTACTAGCAACATCTGCACGTTCATTGGCAGCGGGCTTGTTTATGTGAATTAATATAAGGGTAGAACGTTAAGTTCGAGCGAACCCTTTTCTCGTAGCTGCCTCCGGTGTTAAGATTCTAGATGTATTCTTTTTGACAAGTGGAGACTATATATTCAAGGATTTTGTAGAAGGGGTGCATTGGCTCGGTCGCCGTTTTATTGGTCCATATTGCTTAGTTCACAAGCTTAGAGTGAGTAAGCAATATGAACCTTAGATTCTAATCGACGGTTTAAATTGTATCTAGAAACATAGTTACAGCAAAAACATAGTCAACTCTGACACCAATGCTTACTACTGTGCATCCGTAGTACATTGGATTTGCCACCCTTCTGTTGATTCCTTTTTTATTTGCTCTGTTTCTTCTCTACTTAAGAGCATGTTTGGGAGCTCATTATTTTAATAGTTTACAAATGTTTTTTTTTTCTTATAAGGCAAGATGAATTGTTCGGTAAATTTTATTTATCTATTTTATTTATTTTTTATAAATAGGAAAATAGTAAGTTTTCCCTTATTTTTTTCCCTCTTATTTTAACTTGTAAAGTTTCACAAAGCAACGTTTTGCGAACATGCCCTAAGAGTTAAGATTTTATTTGCTTCTTACATACAACTTTGGCTGACAAATGCTCTTCATAAATTTTAATTGGCAGTATCCCCGTGATAACAATTGCCATTTGCAAATATAGAGCGGTCCAAATGCACAAATTAACAGTATGATGTTATTAACTTGTTTAGTCTAGCACTTTCCCTTTTATTAACTTTTTTCCTTTGAAATTTAATTTATTTTACAAATTAAGTATTGAGAAGAAAGAGAGATTACATAAAGAAGAAGGAAGGAACATGGGGAAGAAAATAAGGGAAAATATATATATTTAGCCGATACGAATAGCAAATAGATATGAGGGTAAAACAGATAAATTAAACGAGATATGAGGGTAAAACAGATAAATTAAACGAGGTTTAATTAAACAATGGATTAAGTTAATAGATTGTAAAATGATGAAAGTATAGTTAATAAAGGCTTAAGTAAAATAATTAAACAATGGATTAAGTTAATAGATTGGAAACTGATAAAGAAAAGTATAGTTAATAAAGACTTTAAGTCAAATCTAGTCCAATTATACACGCAATATTACTCCGGGCAGTAAAACTAGGACGAAGTGGCTATTTTATTTTAATGCCTAATATGGACTAATAGTGGCCCAGGACTTCATTAGCCATTATCCTTTATTGGCCCAATACAATATGGCCAAGTTCACTATTTTATTTTACGTGCACTTACTGGGATTCGGCCCATAAAATTTTATAATATTTTTACGCTTTTACCCTTCTCCGCGTCACGCCATTCCCAAGCCCAAAACTTTTATAAATGCGAGATGCGCTCTCCCGCTCTTCTCTCAGGATCAACAACGTCTCTATCTTTCGATCGAGGAGGAGATTTCTAGGGTTAGGGTTGAAGATTGGAAGCAATGCATCGAGATTCTTCGAGAATTGGGGGTAAACAATCAGGTAATTCTGATTTTTAATCAGGGTTTCTTTTCAATTTTCTCTTTTTCAGTCGATTATCTAAAATGTCGCTCGATTACGCTTGCAGATTTGGGGTTGAACGATCGACTATCTTTTATGTATAAAAATCCTCGATTTAGTAAACAATCAGGTAATTCTGATTTTTAATCAGGGTTTCTTTTCAATTTTCTCTTTTTCAGTCGATTATCTAAAATGTCGCTCGATTACGCTTGCAGATTTGGGGTTGAACGATCGACTATCTTTTATGTATAAAAATCCTCGATTTATTCTCTTTTTCAGTCGATTATCTAAAATGTCGCTCGATTACGCTTGCAGATTTGGGGTTGAACGATCGACTATCTTTTATGTATAAAAATCCTCGATTTA